ATTAATTTTATGCATTGCCAATAAGAAATATTAATTTTATGCATTGCCAATAAGAAATATTAATTTTATGCGTTGCCAGTAAGAAATATTAATTTTATGCGTTGCCAATAAGAAATATTAATTTTATGCATTGCCAATAAGAAATATTAATCTTATGTTTTGTCACTAGAAATATTAATTTCAACTCAACGAGAGGATGTTCATACTTCAGTGAGTATTTGTTCAATAATCACATTTTTCACTTACAACCCCAAAAACCTTAATTTTATCACACACACACACACACACACACTACTGACAAATTAAATGAACCCTTCTAGGAGGCATGTGACCATCTAAACTCGTTTTCTCAATAAAGGACTATTTTGCGAAGTCACTTACATGTCGTGTGAACCAAAACCCAAACCCTATTCCTGTTGTTAGTGAACTAGGCCAATGATGTCTGCTTGACAAAACCTGTGTTGAAGTTCTCTGTATGGTACACATAACATATCAGTTATTTTTATAACACTTAAATTTAAACTTAATTAAAATGCAGATATATGCAGTGAGGAGTTATTTTTAAACACGTACTAATTAGAATGAAAAATAATGTCACAGGCACTGATGTCAAGTCGCAAAACCTTCAAATAAGTGTCATAATGATTTGTAGTGTGATTTTATAAAATGAAAATTCTTTAAATCAACCATATAAGTGGAAAGTAGCATTGCCAAAAATGACTTTAAACAAGTCATAATTTGTATTTTTTTGTAATCGAATGATGGATCAGTACAGTACTCCTTACTGAATTATATACATATTTAGGATGGATCGTCTATATCTCTATTTCACTCTGTCACTTAATATACAATAATTGCACTCCGCTGGCAGCATACTGTAAAATACTTTATTTCAGCTGCAATTAATTTTATTGGGTGTTTTGTATGGAATTCATTTTCACTGATTTCTGACAAGTCGAATGTAAAAAATATGAAAACAGGTATATTGGCTGGATTTTATTTTCACTCAATCATTCCTTCAGCGAAAATTAATTCCAAGCGTAAATAAAGTATTTTACAGTACATTATCACATGACCATAGTTGTGAATATTTAGTGGGAAACATTGCGTCATATGATATTCACATTCAACGTTGTAACTTCAACTTCGTTTAAAGCATGTTAATATATTCTTAGAATAACAGAAATGAACAACCATGAAAGATTATTTTGAAAAGCTATCATTGAGATTACGTAATAAAACCCCAATTGCTGGCTTTGAAATTATCTGCCTAATTACCATATCATGTAATTTTTCAGTTTTTCTGACAATCAAGAGTTGGAAGAGTTCCTCAAGTACCCCTACCTCTAACCGTAACTCTAACCCTATCTTCCAGCACTCCCCAATTTTATTTGTATAAGCCCCTCCTAAGGATACCTATAATTATCTAGAGAGACATACACATTTGAATTTGGGGTATGGGAGTGAGGGTTGAAGTTATGGGGCGGGGGTACAAAAGGAACTCAAACCTCTAAGTTGATCATATGATGAACAAACAGCCTATCGGCTGAGATAGCTCCGCTGTTAGCAATGCACATTTCAATTAAAGAACTGAAGACATCATTAGAAAATGAACAATATGAATAGTATCAAAACAATCGGACTTACAGTTTTTAACAAGAAGTCGAAAATATCACTTTTTACCAAAAATTACAAAAATATTCACCAAAATAAATTAATTAGAGAATTGAAGATATCATCACAAAACGAACAAATCTGAGAGAGGTCCACATGTAGTACCTATATATGTAATATCCAAGCAATCGGACTTACAGTTTTCAACAAGAAGTCAAAAATATCACCTTTTACCAAAAATTACAAAAATATTCACCAAAATTAGAGAATTGAAGATATCAACATGAAATGAACAAACCTAAGAGAGGTCTCCCCAAGGTACATATACACAAAGTATCAAAGCATTCAGGCTTGTAGTTTTCAAGAAGAAGTCGAAAAAGTAAAACATTGACACGGATGACGGACGACGACGACGACGACGACAGACAATCACTCATATGATAAGCTCCGCTCGACAAAGTCGACAGCGGAGCTAAAAAGTTATCACTTGGAATCATTTATTCATAGAGCGAATTGATACCATGACCTCAACTGTATCAACCAACTTTACAAACACGTGATATTAAACAATCTAAAAATATATTCTTGGGCATTAGTATGAAAATAAAATGTGTTGCATTGAGAATGAAATAAACATGGATGCAAAAAAGGTACCTGGCATTTCGCTGTACGTTGATCGTACATTGCTAGTGCACCATTTCTTGCACCCACAGCCAGTCTTCTACTATTAGGACAATAGCTGACCATATTAAACCGACAGATAGCTGGGAATACTTCAGATAGACCTTTGGTTTTCAACTGTATCGGGTCCAGACAGTGAACTATTATATCCATTACCTGTATGGAGAAAAAGACGTGAGAGAACTTTATTAACTAAAATCTCGTTAATCAGGTTTGCTCCAAGCTTTGTTGGTTTTAGAACATATTTGACAACAAATTGGAAGAGAATTTAACATAAACAGAAGTTTTCAGCATGAAGTTGATGAGGGCGCTATACTGCTAAGGTACATAAATACTGTCAGTAGAAAGGAGGAATACCGTATTCACTGGGTTTAATTTTAGCGAATTTGTTGGCGAGATATTCAGTTTTTGAATTCAGTAGTTTGTGAAAGAAACAATAAATTCTATTGCATGAACAAACACTGGGTTTTAATTTAGTGCCTTTAGCTGTCAGCAAAAATAAAACCCAGTGAATGGTCAACCCCTATAACGTACTGTATTTATTTTGTATGAAATGGTCTGTAACATAGATTTTGACTTAAACATTGTTCCAAAAATATCTAATTTTGCATTTTTTCACACAAAAAATAATTCTTACTGGGTAAAAAACAAGAGAAAAGTTTATGACACATGGCCAAATCCCCCCAACAAAATATTGTCCTAAATTTTTCGCCTGTATTGTATTTACTTAATCAAAAATCAAATGCTCATGAACAAAGTTAACTACATTCTACCTCCAGAGGGCTCTATTCTCTAGAGGACAGCCGAACTCCTTACCTCAACCAACAGGTCTGCTACATCATTGTGCATCTTATCAATTAAGAGCTCAATAATTCTCAAGATTTCTGGTTTGGCCTTGACAAGTGGACTGGCAACCAATAACGCTGTCGGATACTGCGCATTAGCCGCAAGTGCTTGGTGCCTAGCGACTTCTTTAGCCATAGTGGTAATGAATACAGACGGTCTGGCTGTGGCGATTAACGACAACGCATGGTGAGCTGTACGGCACGAGTCGGCACTCGGTGTTAGAGGTAGACCACTCTTGATGCTGTAAAGATAAAGAAATGTCAGTTGACATAAAGTACTTCAAATTAACTCACAAATTAAAGCTGGGGAGTCGTCATCTGCATGTGCATCAGATGGCCATAGCGTGTCGTTGTTAACCAGTGTCTACCCATGAGCTTTTGCGTTTTTAACATGTGTTGTTATCGTCGCTTGGGACTCAATTCTCGCGCGTACACAGGTGACGACCCTCTCGCTTTAAAGTGAGAAGTTGTTTACCCATGTTAAATGTTGTAAAATGTTTGACATAATTTTAAAATGTATGCATTAAGTAGTAAATTAAAGCAACCAAAGAACTATGGTATGAGATTATTAAAAATCTTTGTGCCCATTACTTAATGAGCAAAAACTATTACGTGAAATACGGAAAACTCCATATAAACATATAATAAAATAAACAACACAATATAAATGTATGTCCCTGTCATCAACAGAAATTTATACACAAGCAACTTCAATTGTTAGCAGTGCCCTCATCTTCAGTGAGGCTAAATCTTAACACATATGCAAGCAATCAATTTGGTATACGATTATATTGCGATCATATTCACTGTTGCCAATTGTTGAAAAAAAGGCTGTCAGGTTTTTCGATCTAACAGTGCAATATTCAGGTTTTCTGAATCTTTTATCAGAGATGTTGACAGTATACTGATTAACGATGTTAATGTCTTTCAGGTTTTTTCTAAAATAACCAAAGAGGGAGCACAGACAGGCGAATCAACCTGGAAACGCCAGATCAGAAGGTTTCTGCGCCGTTTTAACGGTGTATCTATCGTCTAATTTTAGTGTATTTGGTGTCCAGACACATTGTCAGGTGGTGTTGCTGGGAAGTTTTCACGGAGAAAAATATATTTGAGAAAGATTTCATGTTGTACGTATCGCTGAGAGCTCCGTTGCAATCAACATTTAAAAATTTATTTACATGCATCGGTTCAGATTTCTACTGTTTACCTGTGTTGTATAACATTGTATTACATTGTATCTTGTTTATCATTTAATGTTGCAAGTTAGGTGTTGGTCTTGCCTCGTTCTATAACCTTTGACCTCGTAACTATTAGACTAATTACTTACTGACTTTCTCTCATGGAAGTCTATTTCTCTACACAACGCAACCCTATCTCACCCACCACAGTACGGCAGCACGAAAGTCCGTGGCTCAAGATATATACTTATGTTCAATCTGTAATTCGGTAAGAGGGTGCCAGCCGAGAGTATCAGGGTGCCAGCCGAGAGTATCAGGGTGCTGCGCCCCTGTTCCCCGGTTGAGAAAAAACCCTGATCTTTGCCTTAGTTCTCGGTCTATTACATATATTAGTCAAAACAAGGGTTTAAAAGAATGTGCCAGTAATGACGGAAATTAGGATGATATGAACATGATAATACTTACGCATTGGAATGTTTATCGCTGTCACAACACAAGTCTAACATTCCAAGTAGCGCAGCCGACACATCCATGTATGGTTCCCAGACCGTAAATCCTCTACCAATCAGATCAATGGCAGCACGTCGTATTGGTGTATGTGCGGGTAACTTGGATGACGGGGGATGAAGCAGCAGGAATGACAATGCTTTTGCTGTAAAGTAATGTCATTAGTTCTGTTAACCGCTTTAATTCAAACTTTCATAAATTTGGGGAAACTGTCAGAAACTGTGAAATTTTGTAACCAGTGATTATTTCATTGGAATCTTTCAGACAGCGAGTCTCGGCGACTTTCTGGAAATTTTTTCATTGTGATTTCTCTCATATTATCATATCATGCTGATTTATAATGATGAAAAATAAGACGCTTATAGTAATTATCATAATTCTTCAATTACAGGTACAGAAATAATCTTGTTTATTAATATAGTCAAACCTACGTATAGCGAACACCCAAGGAACCAGAGGCCTTAATTAAAAAGGTCTTTACGAACAAGTAATCTTTGAATAAACACTGACATAATATGAGATGGTAGTGTTGCAAAAAAAACAAAAAAAAAAACACTTATATAAGGTAACCAAAATCATATTAAAGACAGGGGATCTATGTACACAGGATTCTCATATGTTTGGCTCTTGAAATACCTAAATGTGGTCATTATAGGGTGTTTACGTTTTGTGCATTTGTGAAGAAACTGGTTGATCAGAAAGTGACGCTAACAAGCTGGTTGGCAACAATGTAAACATATGACGTCACTGTGCGGCAACCTATATCAGGTAGTTTTTGTATAGAGGTGGTCACTAACATGGGTTTGACTATCTCTGTTTTATTTTACAGATACATGTGTATAAATAAGACATGGGTATTCTAGCTGCGTACTGTAAACCTGACAGAAATATCCGTTATGTGTTGACGTTTTCACAGAAACAAAATTTCACTAAAGTCACTGATACATCAACATTTAGCAATTTTTCTGACTCATGAATTTCACTATAATCAATCAGTTTATAGTAGATTGTGAGTCGGTTAAAACAAATAAACTTTCACATTAACTCATAATTCTGTAAATAAGCTGAAAATAAATGTTGCACTACTGAGCATGTTTCTGCACATATATGCAATGTATTATGGGAGAGAAATTCACATTGCATATTGTGGTAAACTATTATCACCATAGATACTCACTAAAGTAATGTTCAAACAATATTGGTATTCATATCAATATTTAAATATGATTTTTTTTCATCTCATGCCAACAAGAAAAATTTTGTGATAAGAAGAAATACAGTTACGACCATTTTCCATGACATTTTGGACTCTTTATCTTGACAAATTTCCTGTGACCCAATTTATTTTATTTTCAGTATCTTGATGACAAGAACCCCAAACATATAATCTTTAATTTGACTTGAACCTCCTAATGTTCTTCTGCTGTAGAAAAGTTTCATTTTAACTTCACTGACTTGTTAAAGCAAAATAAGTATTTTTAAGTGATTGGAAGATATCAAGAGTCACCGGTGGTAATTAGTGCAAGTCGCGCCTAGGTAAAACCTCATACTTGTGATTTCCATTGAACGAGCGCATTGGATTGTGGATAAATCAAAGTTTATCAACACAAATGTCGCACATGCGCAGTGCGACGACTACCACGCTTTAATATAAACCCCATCCTCCCGTCTGTTTGATATTCCCATGAAGTGAACCCTCAAGAAGAATATGTAATCTGATTAGATGTCTTAATTGATTTGAAATATTAGTTTTACAAACAAGACAATTGTCAGGAACATTAACGTAAAAAGAAATATACACTAAAAAAATTAGAATTTAAATTCTGTTTTTAACATCCACAGCCGCTTTTTGGTCAATCTATAAGCTTTGGGTTCGCTGGCTGGAAAGATTATTTTGTGGAGCGTCCCAAGAACTGTCGAGTTGGAAGGCAACCGCATAACTATTACATGCTACATAGTAGAAGCGATATCAATTGCAAAAAGAAAGAAGGCATAACTGCGAAATCATGCACATAGAACATACCAAGTTTGTGAAGCTGACAAAAGTCTGTTGCAGGAAGATTCCCAAGATGCCATGCTCTGTTCATTTCACCGATTCATCACACAGAAATCAGACAAGTATAAAACATAACAACAAAGAATAAAATAAATTCAAATGAATAAAGACCCATGATAAGTACCTGTGTGGCGTGCAAGAGAGTAATCTTTGATACCAAACCCGGCTTCTTGGACACTCCGACGATTGGATGCGGCCCTACTTGGGTTCATCTCTGCACCAAACTCGGCACCAATTACACCCAGCATTACAATGGCCGTGGCTTGTTTACGCCGTGACTCAAACGAAGTCGAAACCTTCCGAGCCGGAGAACCACCTGAAGGGTAGACGATTCAATATATATTACATAATTTGTCAGCGAGTTGAATTGTTATGCTGGAAAGTCACAGGGTAGAATTTCATTCCTGAAGTTAGCTAAAGATTCCTTTTTAGTATCATAAACAGAGAATTATTTTAACAGCAAGAAAGGTGATATTTAGTTGTATATGTTACATTTTGCCAAAATAACCAGCATTTTTCCCAGCCCTACAACTGCAATATTTATTTAGCAAATCAGCGCACATATAGATACATGTATATGGTGGCACACTTGAGACGGGAGGGGTCTTTTTACACCCCTTCATATCAAAAAATGTATGTGCCAAAGGAATCAGAATGCATTTCAAGACTGGTGAGAGAGAAAGAAAAAAACATAATTTATTGCCCATGTTGGGAATCTTCATTTGCATAAAAATGGTACATCTCTCTTATTTGTAAATTCGGTAAGAAAAAAAAATTACTATTCAAAATAGTTCACCTAATACGGCAATGTATATCTGTTTCAATTTCAATAGAGTACGTTCTAACAATGTTTTCTGAGAGATGTTAAATGTACAGTAAACAAACAGACATGCACAACTTCTCTAATAAAAGTATTAATCCGGCAGACACATGTCACAAACAAACAAACAAGAAATAATAATTTCACTGTAAATGCATAAAAAACATAAAAAAATATTAGGATGTCAATCAAAGCAAAAAAAGCAAAAAACTGTGATTACATCTGCATTATACTAATTACCGCAGTCTTTCAATAAAAAAATATAAGGGAAAGCTGCTAGTGCTAATGAATATAAAAAATAGAAAATGGTTTTATTACCAGTTTCAATGTATTATAGTTATTTCAATGTAAACAAATCGAGAACAGTAGGTATTGGCTACACTGGAAGTAAAAGTGTGTTTGCCGTAAAAAAAAGCCATTACAATCAGCTACTATAAAGATCCATGCTGGAGCCTAATTAATTAAATCTACAATTTATCTTTGCTACTACATGTACATGTAATATTATTTTTGATTAAATGCTACAATCAGTACTGACTGACAATTCCAGGATGACCAATAACGGCTTATAACTGCCATATTTGTTTTTATTTATTATATTGTTAAATTATTTTAAAATTATTATGGTATTTCTATTCAGCTGCAATAAACTTTTTTTCTTATCTCTGCTTCAATATCTTTAATGATATCTTATCAAACTTAACTATTTCAAAACATTTCAACTATTAAAGATGAGTAAGATCGATTTTCTTGATTTTTAACAGTTTTTTGAGGCAAGAGTGTAAGGTTAAAGGTGCACATACATACACAATTACCCCAATACTAAATTATTGAAGATCTCAGATAAACTAGTTTTATTTCACTTATCATGGCCAGGTTGTCTCTGCATGGTGTTCAATAACACATTAATTCAGCTACTACTATAGTAAATGACATTATGTCAACTTGTCAGATTTCAAATCTGCTCATCTTAAGTAACGCAAGCAACCATTGGTACACGTACAGCACACACGCTGAAGTAGTAGATTAAACACCTTTGACATAAAATGATTATGAATGATATTTATACATATATAAGCAAACTGGACAAAAGCGATGCATTTAGAAATGATGACATCTGATAAACACATAAAGTAAATGAGATCAATCAGACAATCATCCTAGATCCAGAGCTTGAACTTCACAAAGGCATCTAAGTTTGCCATGGTGCCCTTCAATAATCCCTTCATTATTCCCATATGCAAAGGCTATTTTAAAAAAATTTTCCTGAAAAATGGATGCCTTCTCAACGCTGAAGTTCAAGCCATGTAGATCTGGTTTCACTTTTTTAAAACCACATTACTGAATTTAACAATGTGATGAGATTTTTTTGACAGAGCGGAAAGAAAAAATAGATGTTGAAGAAGGGAGAGGAGACAAGGACAGAAAGCAGCGAGTTATTATTAGTATATTACACAAGAAGAAAACATTCTCTTAATAATTGATGAACAGCATTCTGGGATTGATACAAATGTCATCTGAAAAACACCCACCCAAGGAAAGCAAAGTCATTCTGAAGTTGAAAGCATGACCCTAAAAGTCCTACATCTTGGTACGCTGCATAACCTTAGAGGTCGTACATCCTGGTACTTTGCATGACCCTAAAGGTCATACATCATGGTACTTTGCATGACCCTAAAGGTCATACATCATGGTACTTTGCATAACCCTAAAGGTCATACATCCTGGTACTTTGCATGACCTTAAAGGTCATACATCCTGGTACTTTACATGACCCTAAAGGTCATACATCTTGGTACTTTCTGGTATTCACTATAAAAGAGAATTTAATTTATTCAGAACTATTTTAGCAAAATAAATGCAAAAAAGTTCAAAAACATTTCAACATGGAACAATACAAGGTACAATATTGTTGATAATACTAAAATGTGACCTTTAGGGGTCATGCAGCAGTCTTGTTATGTTTTTGTCATGACAAATAGTATTTTTAAAATAGTAGCGGGAATCAGGAATGTGATGAAGAGCACATTTCCTCAGGAACTTTGGATAATTTGACCGTATTAAAGAAGCGAGGTAACTTTTCACAAGAAATTCAAAAATGACTTGACTTTCCTGGATGATGACAGTTTAATAAGAAAAGTGGTGCATTATTACACAGTACACGTGTAGGTGAAATCTGTGACATTCGTCAATAGATTGACAGAAATAAATTGAGAAGAAATCCATTTAGTTTCGGTCACCTGATGATGAGATAACTTCTCCACCAAGATGGCCTGCAAACAGGCCTGTTACCAACAAAAAAAATAAAAAGAAAAATCAATAAACATTAATTAAACAATTGAATTTTGCTAATAATTAGTTGATAATAACATTCCTAAAGCAGCAGGCAATAGCTTGTACTAATTTGTTAATTCAAACTACGAAAATAAATAAGTGGTAAACTTATCTAAACCAAACTGGTTTTCTCAGCTCCGTTCTAAAGACATGCATAACCGAACCTATGAATCAACACCAATGTAAACTCAATAATTGTTTCCATCTCGTTAGCGTTCAGTTTAGACAAGGTTCACCATAATCTGACTAACAAATTAAAGTAAGGACATAGCCATGGACCGCATGGTTTTTATTTAAACTACAAGTTAAGGATCTATTAATTATTTTTAAACATTCCCATGCATTATGGATATAATTGATTAATATCTTAGCAAAGGGTAGGTACACCAATAAACCTAATATGAGATATAAACAGGATTACATGAAAATATGATTATGTGCAACATTGTGAAATCAACAGATAAATGACTGAAATTGTCAAATTTATTAGTGGTGAAATACTTCACAATGAATTTCAATGACATAGCCATATTCAATTATTTGGAATGGCTCGATGATGACACATAATGTTGGCATTTAAGTTTTGATTCATTTTCAGCATCAAAACTTGGTAAATATATATCATATATCAACTCATACGAACTGACCATGGTGTATAGGCACTGGCCGTGGTGTATAGGCACTGGCCGTGGTGTATAGGCACTGGCCGTGGTGTATAGGCACTGGCCGTGGTGTATAGGCACTGGCCGTGGTGTATAGGCACTGGCTGTGGTATATAGGCACTGGCCGTGGTGTAAAGGCACTGGCCGTGGTGTAAAGGCACTGGCTGTGGTGTATAGGCACTGGCTGTGGTGTAAAGGCACTGGCCGTGGTGTAAAGGCACTGGCCGTGGTGTAAAGGCACTGGCCGTGGTGTAAAGGCACTGGCTGTGGGGTAAAGGCACTGGCTGTGGTGTAAAGGCACTGGCTGTGGTGTATATGCACTGGCTGTGGTATAAAGGCACTGGCTGTGGTGTAAAGGCACTGGCTGTGGTGTAAAGGCACTGGCTGTGGTGTAAAGGCACTGGCTATGGTGTATAGGCACTGATCATAGTGTATTGGCAATGACTGTGGTGTATAGTCACTGGCTGTGGTGTATAGGCACTGGCTGTGGTGTAAAGGCACTGGCTGTGGTGTATAGGCACTGGCTGTGGTGTAAAGGCACCGACTGGTGTAAAGGCACTGGCTGTGGTGTAAAGGCACTGGCTGTGGTGTATAGGCACTGGCTGTGGTGTAAAGGCACTGGCTGTGGTGTAAAGGCACTGGCTGTGGTGTATAGGCACTGGCTGTGGTGTAAAGGCACTGGCTGTGGTGTAAAGGCACTGGCCGTGGTGTATAGGCATTGGCTGTGGTGTATAGGCACTGGCTATGGTGTATAGGCACTGGCTGTGGTGTATAGGCACTGGCTGTGGTGTAAAGGCACTGGCTGTGGTGTATGCCTATACTGGCTGTGGTGTACAGGCACTGGCTATGGTGTATAGTCACTGGCTGTGGTGTATAGGTATTGGCAGTTGTATATAGGCACTGACAAGGGTGTAATGGCACTGGCCGTGGTGTACAGGCACTGACCATAGTGTACAGGCATAGGCTGTGGTGTAAATGCTCTGGCCGTGGTGTGGTGTGAATGCACTGGCCGTGGTGTATAGGCACTGGCCGTGGTGTACAGGCACTGGCCGTGGTCGTGGCCATGGTGTACAGGCACTGGCCCTGGTGTACAGGCACTGGCCGTGGCCGTGGTGTACAGGCACTGGCCCTGGTGTACAGGCACAGGCTGTGGTGTACAGGTACTGGCCATGGTGTACAGGCACAGGCCGTGGTGTACAGGTACTGGCCATGGTATTTAATTTATGCAGTGACCCATAACATACAGGTAACAAAACAATCAATATGGGTACTCATCTTTGATGTATGCCTAGTGATCTATGATATTAATCCATGGTGCATGCACAGAAAATAAGATGTATAAATATTGTCTCATGGTGTACACTTAAGACACCCATGATATATAGGTGGCATACATAGTGATTATGGTATATTTACAGTAACTCATTATGTATAGATACCTATGGTGTATAAATCGTGGCCCATGATGTTTAGGTACTAACTCATGGGGTATAGATAGTAATCCATGGTACATACATAGTGAAACATG